GGTAATCCGCCAAACGTGCACTGAGACACGAATTGCAGCGTCTCCAAGCCATTCGAACCCTCAATCCTCACTGATAGAAAATCATTGGCCTGGACCCCGACTTGATACATGTCCTGGAATTTACCGTGTGGCTGGGCGTGTTTTCGCGTGACCTTCCTGGTGCTCAGAAGTGGCCCACCACCTAGAAGGCCCACGAGACAACCAAAACGCTCTCAGACAGCCCCAAAAAAGGGCCCTAGAGGGGGCACGCGCACCGACATTTCGAGCCCTCCGCCCCAAAATGGCCCTGGGGCCACCAGCGATACCCCCAGAAAAACCCACAAGTTCCAACAGGCACCCACGAATGCCAAATCAGGCCCAAGGAGGGCCCCCCCTTCGACAGGCTCCGAAGACGCTCCAACATTGCCCATAGGAGGCTTACGTGCCGAAGGCCACTCGAGAAAACGTCGTTCGAATCCCAATACGGATGCGAACGCCAACGATGTTTCATCACTGGAGCTTATACGAAGGCTACTACTAGTCCTAGTTGGGGGAGCGATGCAATGTACCCCCCTCTCGTTGACAAGGGAGGGGGTGCTCGCCAAACCCGCCCCCCGCCCCCCTTTCACGGAGGGTTTTTTCGGATTCCCCCCCGTTCCCCCGTCGGACCTTCCCCCCCCCGTGGGAAATGAACCTCGGACACCCCCCCGTCCCCCCTTTGCGTCAGCATGGGCGCGGGGGAGAATCTCCCCCCCCCCTCCCCCCTTTCTGCGCCAAGAAAAGGAAGGTGGGTGGGTGGAGCAAGGGTGCCAGGGTTAGATTGTGGGGAAGTTTCGGGTGTTAGGGCAAGGGTGTTCGGGGGGGGCTGTGTCAGGGTTGGGTTGTAGGGCCAGATTGGTTGGGTTAAGGTGTCTGGGTTGGGTGTCGGATGAAAGGGTAAGAAAGATCAGGTTTGGGCGTTAGGGTTCGGGCGCCAGGCTCACACGGGTTGCGCCAGATCTTCCCCCCCCGCCCGGACCTCGTCCTCGAAGATTGGCCTCTCTTTTTCGCGCCTACGCGGTGTTACATCATTTGCCCCCTCCGAGCACATCTGGGCCGTCGCGGGGAGATGCTGGCGCGTGCCTGTGTATCGTCTCCATCCTTTCCCATGAAATCGACCTCGTCAACAATCTGAACGCGCTAATCCGATCGGACTCATCTGCTTCTTGCCGCCACCAGCGGCGGCGACGACGGTGAAACGGTGAAAACGCGGATGTGGCTGTTGCTGCTGCAGCTACTTGTGCCGACGGTGAGCTTGGGGGCGCTTGGGGAGCAACCAGAGCGTCTGGGAAGGGTCTGGGAACGGCCGCGTCTGGGAGACCTGGGAACGCGCTGCGAAAATCAGCTAGTGTCCGCGACATGGTATTTGTTGCAAGGACTCGTGCAAGTTGGACGGGTGCGAGGATGCACAATACCATGTCCACCAACTGACAACTCGTTGCAAAGGATCAAGCTGGTCGGATGGTTGTGGAGACCAGAAGATACGCACCGAACTGCACTTCTTGAGGAGAGATGGCGAGTGTCCGATCGACGTGACGATCCGCCGATGTCTGGCGCATTGCATCTGCTGCTGCATGGGCTGCCATGGGCTGGGTAGACGTGGGCATCAATAGTCCGATCACGCCATCCGATGTGCGCCACGTCCAACATCTTCTCTGGGATGGCAACAAAAATCATCTCGCGGCGCCAGGTCGTTCCGGACCCTGTCGGGGGACGGCCTGGGCCGGGCGAAGACGTTATATGATTATGAGATTGGGGACTCACGGTGTGAGGGTTCGGGCGGCACGGTGTCAGGGCTGGGTCGCTTGGGCTGGGGCGCGAAGGTTCGGGTGCTGAGGTCGCTCCATCCTGGGCCTTGATCGTCACCTCCCCCGCCCAAAGCCCTTCCCATCATATCGCTCCCACGCGGTGTTGCATCCTCTGCATCGTCCGAGCACGTGTGGGCCGTCTCGAGGCGATCTGGGGGCGCGCCTGGGTCTTACTACAATCCCTTCCCATGAGGCCAACCTCCCCAGCAATGCGCGCTGCTGCGTAATTTTCGCAAAACAAAGAATCCCAAAAAGATAGCGGCCCCAGGTCGGTCGGGAACCCGTCGGGAGACGGCTGGGGACGTCTGACGAGGCCACACGATTATTGAGGTTACCGACGTAGGATGCAAGGCTCACGCTGGCTGCGCCCGATCATTCCCCTCGCTCTAAGCCCCCCCCAACAAATCGACCTATCCTGGAATCCGTTCCCATGAGATTAACCTGCCCGACAATCTGAACGCGTCACATCTTTCGACGCCTGGACGGAACACAGCGAAGATGTGGATGTGGATGCTGCTGCTGCTGATGAGGACGTCGAGCTTGGGAGCGCGTGGGCGGCGATCGGAGCGTCCGGGAACGTCTGGGAGCTCGCGAGGACGTCTGGGAAACCTGGGAGCGCGCAGCGACGATCAACCGGTACCACGAAATCGTACCTGGTGCAGGGGCCGCAAGGGTAGGATGAGTGTGAAGTTGAGCAGATGTTCGCCAGATTGCATTTTTCTCGAAGGGTGGCAAGTGTTCGGCCCCTGTGGATAGCAGCCGAAGTCCACCACCTTTTGGGGCCAGAGGTCGTGGCGGGTGGTTGCTTCCGAGGATCAGCAGATTGGCACCGAATGGCTTGTTTTGCAACTCATCATGAGAATTTGTTTTTGCAGACGTGCGCCGCGCTGCATTTACCCACGGGGTGATGAGCGTTGGCGCCGGCAGAAGGGGACTGAACTATGTCTTCTGCAAGGGGTCGCATAGGTTGGGTAGGTGTTCAAATCGAAAACTGTGCAGGCCATAGCGCTCTCCGTGCATGGGTTCGGCTCTCGACGAGACGATCATACTATCAACTGGCGTTCACCGAACCCCTTTCTCGCAGGGGGGCACAAAAGTGATCGCGGCCCCGGGTCGCTTCGGACCCGCTCCGGGGATGGCCGCGGCGGTGTAGAAGTGCAATGGAAGTACTGGATGTACGGTGTAGAGCTGCGAGGGCTGCTCTACACCATCATCGCGGATTAATTATGGCAGTACTGGATATATGGTGTAGAGCTGCGAGGGCAGCTCGTGTAAACTGTCGGAGCTCCTCGCGGCGGTGTAGAACTGCAATGGAAATACTGGATTCGAGACTCACCGCTTTGCTTGATCCAGATCGTTCACCACCGCTGAAAGCCCTTCCCATCAGATCGACCTGTCCTCTTACCGAGCCAACTCGGTCTTGCACCTTCTGCTCCTTCCGAGCACTTCTGGGCCGTGTCGGGGCGGTCTTGGGGCATGCCTGGATCCTGCTTCTATCCTCTCCCCTGGGATCAACTTCCTCGACGATCTGAACGCGTCAACGCGATTTGATACATCTACTCCTTGATGCCGCCTGCGTCGACGAGGGCGGAGAAATGGTGAAGATGCGGAGGTGGATGCTGCTGGATGCTGCTGCTGCTGCGTGTGGCGACGGCGAGCTCAGGAGCGCTCGCGGAGCGATTGCGGCGGCGGGGAGAGTGTGGAAAAGTCTGGACCTCTGGGAGCGCGGTGCGAGTATCAGCCGACGTCCACCAATCGGCTTTTGTTGCAAGGACGGTGAGAGTTCGGTGGGTGCGCAGGTTAGCCGATATCCACCCAATTGTATTTTCTGCAGAAGGATCTCGACGGTAGATTATCGCGAAGATGGGAAGATGTTGCGTGCAAAGGGGCTGGTGGGTTTTCGCTGGATCTGACAAGCAATCCTTGCCCACCGAATTGACGATGTTTGCGAGGGATCGCAGGGGTTGGGTAGGTGCGAGAATCAGAACATGTGCACGCCATAACTGATCAAGTATATGATGGAGCTCTAGGTGAGAAGACCTTGCGATCTGCCAATGTGCACTGCGCCCGATGTTTTGAATTTAGTGCTAGGGGTAAAGAGATCAAGATACATAGAGATGGGGATACGAACATAATACAGGGTAAAGAAAAAACGGGATTATGATAACGGGCTCGTCTAGGGATAGGGAGACAAATGGTCGACAATGGCGCCCCACCGATTCCGGCTCGGCCCATACCTGGTCTCTTAGAAACTAGATGTGTCGGACCCATGCAAACACGCTGTTGCTTAGAGACATCTTCGTGCAAAGACTGGCAGAAAGGGGCGTCACATCTGCACCCTGGCGAGCTCGGGACTTACAAGTGTCCCAAGCCATGGGGCCAGCAGGAACCTTGCCCGGCCGCCGCCCCCTCAAAGACCGGAGCCCCTCGCCGACAATCACGTGGCCAGGACGTCCGCTGGCACGAGCAGGGGGCGGTGCGCCTCATGGCCCGAGGCAGGTCAGACGTGCGGGGCCAAGGGGCGCGAAGTCTGGGACGAGCTGTGGCACCGGCCAACACACAGCCGGCCCGCATCGCAAGGAGGCGCGATGAGGATGCACGGCCCCTGGACGGTCGTGTTGAGGCTCTTCGAGCGGGGCGCGGCCAAGGAAAGTGACCAAGGATGCACCGAGGAAGCAAGGATGCAGGGGTTCCCTTGGGAAGGTTTCCCATCCTTACTCTGCGGGTTGACTGCACCCTCTCCCCCCCCCCCCAGACACACACACACACACACACACACACACACACACGCACACTGTCCTCACCCCCTCTTGTCGGGAAACGTAAGACTCAGACTACGGGGACTCGGGTTGGGCTGACGGGGCCATCATAGAATGACGCGGCCCAATCTGAAATTTGACGCGGGCTCCCGCTGCAGACATCCCCCGAACACTGGACTGTCAAAACTCAGGACGGGCTCGTCAACCGTAGGAGGGGGAGGAGGAGGGAGGAGGTAGGAGAGAGGAGGACGAGGAGAAGGAGGAGGGAGGACGAGGAGGAGGAGGAGGAGGAGGAGGAGGCCGAGTTCTGGCGCACTCGAGTCCTACGTTTCCCCGACCTTGGGCGCCCCCGACCTTATTAGCACGACAGACGGCGAAGCGCCCCAAGCCGCTCCCCCGGAGCCCCGGGCCCCACTCGCGCACGACGGCGCTGCCGACCGAGGACTCGTCCCGGAAGCGCACCTCTCCCGGCCCGCGGCCCGCGGGGCCAAAAAGGGGGCTGGAGCGGTCGGCATCGAGTCGGGAAGTGGGGTCTGCTCGCTCCTCCTCGCTTCCCTCCTCCTCGCTCCTCTTCCTCCTCCTCCTCCTCGCTCCTCCTCCTCGCTCCTCCTCCTCCTACTACTGCTCCTCCTCCTCCTCTTCGAAGTAGAAGGAAAAGGAAGAACGCCATCACCATACATCGTTGGCTTCCGCGCGGGTTTCCTGGATCCGCGCCTGGGCCCCCCCGGGCGGCGCCTCTGGCGCGCCGCCCTTGACCGCTCCGCGCGCCAGGGATGGGGGCCAGCGCAGATCCAAAGAATCGCGTGAAGCGCCAAAAGTTTATGTTTACACAGTTCGTTCTTCTTCTATAACGGGCGAAAGAAGCAATGTAAAATTAACTTTCTCGCTGTCGGGGGCGCCTGTCCCAGGGCGGCTGGAAAGTTTATACCCTTACGGTGGCACCGTAGGGGTATAAACTTTCCAGCCGCCCAGGGGCAGGTGTCCCCGACGGCGGAAAGTTGATGTTATACAGTTCTTCGCTCTGTGATTCTAGCCATGTGGCCATCGGGCCGCATCGGGTGGTGGGAAGGGGGGGGCGACGACGGCGACGAGCACGACGGCAGAAGTAGAATTACAACGAGCTGCGTACACATACCAAGTTTCAGAAATTCGCGCGGATCGGTTGGATCGGCGATGGACGTCGTTACGTAAGAGGGAAACAATCACTGAACACTTCCCCTCCCCCCCAAACTCAATGTGGGCACGCGCGGGGGAGACTGCGGTCGAAGTGCATCTCATCAGACCCACCGTCAACTTTGAACATCGGGGGGAGGGGGAAGCGTTGACGGATGAATGTGGCATGTGTTCGCTAATTTGTTCCGAGGCCTGTATTGTTTATCTGCATACCCTGGCGCCGGGCATCACGCCCTGCGATGGCCTTCCGGCCCCCGCGCCCCCCCCAACCCGCCGCCTTCGGGAAGGGCAGCCGCTCTGGCCCAGGCCGCGACGCGCGAGGCGCGATGCTCTTCGCGCCCCCGCGGGTTATAGCTCTATAGCTGTACACATGTACATATACATACGCACAACTATACATATAGAAAACATACACGTACATATATGTAGACATCTTGTGCAGAGTCTGCTTCTGCAAGGCGGAAAATGCGGAAGCAGAAGATGGGATCAGGAAAAAGGAAAGGCGACACCAACACCGCCAGGGCCAGGAGATGTGAGGAGGCCAGGGGGGTCTCCATGGTGCTGTGGTCCTCCCCTCTCGCTCGAGACACCAAGCGCCTCGAGCTCGGGGAGGCATCGTCGACCTACTCGCTGCAGGTGGGCCCCCTGGTGGTGTTGGTGTCGCTCCTCCTCCCTCCGAGGGGACGGCGGCGGCGGCGGCCACGGCGTCGGCCACGGCGCCAGTGACGGGTGGTTGGGCAGAGGCAGCCTGCCAAGAAGAACATAACAGCAAAAACATAAACTTGTGGCGCTCCGCGCGGATTTCTTGGATCTGTGCTGGGCCCCTCTCCCTGGCGCGCGGAGCGCGCCAGGGGCGGCGCCGGAGGCGCCGCCGGGGGGCCCAGGCGCGAATCCAAGAAACCCGCGCGGATCGCGCTTCGCGGAAATATCGGGGATGGACAGACCTCCCTTTAGTAAAACGTGATTTAGTGAAAACGACATCGGGCCCGAACCTGGCGGGCGCAAGCCTGGAAAATAACGGCCGCGGCGCCCTCTCGAGAACCGAAAACGGACAATTCACTAATCGACGTGTTAGGGTTGGAGGTCTGTCCACCCCCGAAATTAGCCAGGGAGATGTCCCTGTCAGCGTGCCGGCAGCGCGCGCGCGGAGATGCAGACAGGACGCTGACAGATCGGCGGCGGGCGAGGGGGGGAAGTGAGAGGGGGCGGGCCTTCTCAGAAGGCTCGGAAGTGTCCAGGCCTCCCGATAAGTTCCTAAAGCCAACCCCCGAGGGCACGAGAAGTTCCTGAGAAGAGCCTTTCCTCGGAAGGCGGGAGGTTTCTGTGAGAAGTCCCGCCGCCTTCTGAGAAAGCCTCCTCCTTCTCACTTCCCCCCTCCCTCGCCGCCGAGAATCGACTTTGATCGCGCCCAGATCAGAGGAGGAGGATGAGGATGAGGACGAGGATGAGGATGATGAGGAAGAGGAGGAGGAGGAGGAGGAGGAAGAGGAGGAGGAGGCGGAGGAGCAGGAGGAGGAGGAGGAGGGGCATAAGGAGGAGGAGGAGGAGGAGGAGGTTGAGGAGGAGGAGGAGGAGGTTGAGGAGGAGGAGGGGGAGGAGCAGGAGGAGGGGGAGGAGCAGGAGGAGGAGGAGCAGGAGGAGGAGGAGGAGGAGGAAGGAGGGATCCATCCCGCGCTCGCCGCCACATGCAAGATGCGCTCTGTGAGCCGAGAGGGCTCCGGGGAGCTCCTGAATGGCCGGGGGGCCCGCCGCTGGCGTTCCAGGGCTCGCCGTGGCCAGGCGAGCCGTGCGCTGGTCCCCCAATGTGTCGGCCGGGCGACCCCCGCGGTGGCCGCGGGCCCGCGCCGCGCCGCGCGGCTCGCGGCGCGAGGCGGAGGAGGAGGACGAGGAGGAGGAGGAGGAGGAGGAGGAGGAGGAGGAGGAGGAGGAGGAGGAGGAGGGGGAGGGGGATGAGGAGGAGGAGCAGGAGGAGGAGGAGGAGGAGGAGGCAACCCTGGGAGGCGAGGGAGCGGCGCCCCTTGCGCCTCGAAGAAGAGAACAAGCGCCATGGACAACGGACCCCGCCGCGGGAGGCCCCGCTGCGGGAGGCCCCGGTGTTCGGTGCGGCTTGGCATCGTTCGGCGGCGGGCCCCAGGGACAGGAAGGGACCCCAGGTTTGAAGGGGCCCCAGGACACACAAATAATTACACACAAATGACATTATTCCCCATATGTTCCCATATTTTCTGGGTTTTTGTCTTCCCCCCCACTTCCCATATTTTCCTGGGGATCGACGATTAATTGTGTCTGTGTGTTTTTTCCCGTCCTGAAGGTTGAACTCACATTGCTCGGAGCCCCTGGCCCTCAGGACCCCATACCCCAGCCCCCAGGGCCCCATCCTTGAACCGCCCATCCGAGGCGCCATCCTGCCTGCCTCTCTGGCCGTTCTCAAGGGGCCCAAGGGCGCACACACACACACACACATACACACACACACACACACACACACACACACGTACACACATCCCAGGATTCCCCATGTCTTCCCATATTTTCTGGGCTTCGTCTTCCCCCCCACTTCCCATACGTTCCATATTTTCCCGGGAGTCGACGATGGATTGTGTCTGTGTGTTTTCCACTCCCGAGCTGTGCCCTGCCGCCGCCCCTGGGCAGCGCCCCGCCCTGAAGCGGCCGCGAGGCGCGGGCGAAGCGAGAAGCCATGACGACGGCGTCGACGACGCCCGCGGCAGCGACGCCGTCAGCGCGTCGGCGCCGACCGTCGCCGCGACCTCCGCAGCGGACCGACGCCGTCGACGTCGGCGGCGACTGGGGAAACACAAAATATGATCGAGACGCCCCAGACCCCTCCCGAGGTTCGTTCCAGCCCGGGGCTCGCAGAGAATCTGGCCGTGGCATCGAGGGCTGTCCAGGACAAGCAGCGGCATCAGTGGTGACCTACTCTTTCCCTGAGGCTTCGTCCCCAGACACACGACCTCAAAGTCTTCCCCACAACATAGAACCCCCTGGAGATCTCGGAAACCTCGGCCCACTCCCGAGGACTGGCCTCTCATCCTGAGTCCTTTTTCTGACGGCCCGCGGCCCGCCAAGGGCCCGTGGAGGTCGAAAATGGCCGAACACCTCTGGCGTCGTTTGTTGTTGTTGGCGGTATCGGTGGTAGTGTTGTTGTTGGTGTTGTTGTTGTTTGTGTTGGTGTTGTTGTGGTAGTAGTTGTTGTTGGTGGTGCTGGTGTTGTTGTTGCTGCTGTTGTTGCTGTTGATGTGGTTTGTGTAAGTGTGGTTGGATTAGTTGTTGCTATTGTTGCTGCTGATGTTGTTGCTGTTGTTGCTGCTGCTGTTGTTGCTGCTGTTGTTGACGATGTTGCTGTTGCTGTTGTTACTGTTGTTGTTGTTGCTGATGCTGCTGTTGATGCTGTTGTTGCTGTTGTTGTTCTCGCGACTCGAGGGGCTACGCGCCGACGTCGGCGGGCGCAGGCGCCACAGGCGCGCGCCGAGCCCGGGCGCAGGCGCCGTAGCGCGGCGCGCAGAGGAAGGCGGCGCGCCTCGAACTCGCCGGCGACGCACTCGGGGGGCGCGCCGAGCCCGGTGCCCTCGGCGAGCTGCCGCCTGCGGGAGGCCCGTTGGTCGGGTCGGGCGGGGGGGGGGCGGCCTGGACCCTCGAGCGACGGGCCTCGATGGAGCCTCGAGGGATGCTCCATCGATCCTCGCCCCTCGCTCCTCATGGATCCTCGAGCGTTGCTTCGCCCCTCGCTCCCCGGCAAGCCTCGACCTCGCTCCTCGACCACCCAAGTCCTCGAGCGAAAGGGGGGTCGGCGAATCGGCTCGCGCGGGCGCGTGTGCTCACATGACAAACATTCTGGCAAGTTTGCATGCAGGACAGGTTGCCCCCCCCCCACCTTCTGCCCCCCCTCGTCGCCTTCTCGTTCAACACTGGGCCGAGAAAGGCGTGCAGGTGGCCCTGGACTTGCGGGGTTCCCGGCTTCCCTTCTGGGGGCTCACCGAAATTCAGGTCGGATGTAAGGGGGGCCAGTACTGCAGGATGACGACTCGGGAAAAAAGCAACGGGGAGACGATTAAACAAATAGTGTCCCGCCTCTGGGAGAGATAGGTGTTAGAGATGACGATAGAACAATCTCAATGACGACGACGGCGCCCACGACCAGACCTGGAGCCCGATGTGTGGATAATCGCCCAAGGCGTTTCTGCACAATTAAGACTTGAGATTGCTTCTGTGCAATGTGGAACCGGTATGGCTTCTCAAAGCAGACCGTAGCAGACTTGACAATTGTCAAGCCACCTGCTTGCCGCGTGCATACGTCGCGAGTATCAAATATTGAGGCGAGGGCACTTGCAGGTGCACGTCCACTGAGCGACGAACTATTAGACAAACAAAGCAAGTTTTTAACCTGCGTGACCTCGTGTGTGAGCATGGAGGGAGCACACCAGTGGCACCGCAAGCACAGATGCGGATGCCCGAAACTACAGTGGGCGGCGTATGTGGTTTCCACACGCTCTCTGAATATGTCTGCCTGTGTCGCACGTGCAATTCGACGAGTATTGTACTGCCTGTGCGCCGCTTAGGCGCCTGGCTGCCTTGCTTGCCTGCTTGCTTGCCTGATTGCCCCTGGGGCGCCGCTGCGCGACGGGCCCCGCTGGCATTTCTCAGCTCCCATACACTCGGGAAAAAACACACAGAGTCTGTGGGCAAAAAAACACACACAGACTGTATGTGTGTTTTTGTTTCCCACAGACTGTGATTTTCCCACGGTGTTTTTCCCCACAGTGTGTGGTTTTGTCCCACAGTGTGTTTTTGTTTCTTTTTTGCCCACAGTGTGTGTATGTATGTGTTTTCCCACGGTCACGCCTTCCACGGCACAGCCATCGACACCCAAGAAATCCAGGGCACCCTGGGGGCAAGCAGGTTTTTATTTCGGCATGGGTCTCCCCTGTACTCGCCGAGGGGGTTTCTTGGCATGGGGTTTTCTTGGCATAGGTCTCCTAGTGACTGAGTTCCGGGGCAACTCATGGGAGCCTCCTGTATCATGTTGTCGGCTTTTGCGAATCGACGCTGAATCGACATCGACGCTAGCCGACGCTACATCGGCGCTACCTCATCGACTCCTAGATGCTAATCGACGCTAAATTACAGACGGACTTGCGAGGGCACACGAGGCTCCCATCACTTGCTACTGAAACTAAGTACGCACACCAGCTCATCAGGCCGCCCTCAAAAGTAACAGGGGGAAGCAAAGGAGTGTCCCCCACCAACACGAGGAGCCAAGGGGTGTCTCCAGGCGGTGTGGCAGTCAGCCCGTATCAGAAGGACGCACGATGAGGATGCAAGGGCCTTGGAAGGCCATCTCGGAGCTTTCCGAGCGGGGCGCGGCCAACGAAAGTGGCCAAGGATAGACCGAGGAGGCAAGCATGCAAGGGTACCCTTGGGAAGGTTGCCCATCCTTACCTTGTGGGTCGACTGCATCCCCAGCACCTGGGGGGGGGCATCGTGAACCTCCTCGCTGGACGTGGCACCCCTGGTAGTGGTGGCGCTCTTCTTCTATCTGGCGCTTGATGCGAACGCGCGCGCAATGCGTTTCACGGAACCCAAGAGCACACATGTGTGCGTAACGCGGGATTGCGCCATTCTTCAGCTCGCAACCCTGCACTGCGTCGTCGTCGGCGTCGTCGCAATGATCGTCCTCGTCGTCGTTTCCGTCGTCGTGCTGGTCGTTCTCGGCCCTCCTTTTGGGGAAACCAAGAGATACCGATACCGCTACTCCTCAGACCTCTCCCAGAGGGCGTCCTGAACAGGATTTCGAAGCTAATCCAGCGGTGGCGACGGGGGCCTTCCGAGAGGCCCACTGCAGGGGAAGACGGGCGACGGGTAGCTGTGTGGGTACCTCGTCCTCCTCTGAGTCGTGCTGGCAGTCCTTGGCCGGCGCGCTCTTTCGAATCTAGAGGGACGTGCCCGACGTGGACCTAAGGGGCGGCTTCTCAACACGCGCCCCGAGCACGACGGGTAGCTGTGTGGGTACCTTTTCCTCCTCTGGGTCGTGCTGGCCAGCGCGCTCTTTCGAATCTGGAGGGACGTGCCCGACGTGGACCCAGGGGACGGCTTCTCAACACGCGCCCCGAGAACGAGGGGAAGGGGGGGGGGGGGCGGCCGAGCTCCGGTCGGCCCGTCGCCTGCTGCGGGCCTCTGTTCGGGTGTTGCTAGAAGTGCCCCTGGCCCAAGGTGCCCCCAGCTTTTCGCTCCATGTTTGAGCATCCCGGGGCCCTCTGGGCCCCGTGAAGGGTGCCCTGGAGGCCTCTTGGGCCACCCCGAGAATCCTGGGGGTACCTTGGGCCAGGGGTACTTCTTGCAAGACCCGATATGTGGCGGGGCCAGCACGGGGGCCCGCGCCTCAGCTGCGGCAGCTGCTCCCCGTCCCGGTCGCACTCGACGAACGCCAGGGGCGGCTCGGCTGGCTCGTCCGACGCGGTGTCCCCGCGGTGGTACCTCAGACGTTCGAGCAGGGACCGTCCGTGCCGGCACTCCTATAGGCCTACCACGAAATATGCTTGGAGCGAAGCGATCCTCAGAGAACGAAAACACCGTTTTTAGAACATGAAGCCGATGTGTTACAACAAGACGGCCCCCACTAGAATTCTTCTAAGAACATGACGTGCAGACCACAGATGGGGTTCAGATAATTTCCCTTTTGTGGGCCTATAGGCCAGCAAGGACGCTGCGCCGCTGCTCGAGACGCTTCCTTTTGTTGCCGCTGGCTTGAAGAGAAAGGGAACAGACGTGTGTTAGGTCGGGCATGTCTTTCTACAGGCGGATCTCGTTGGAAAAATGGATAGATCAAAACACATTCAAAAATAACAAGAAATGACGGAAACATCGTCCCCAGACTATCTTTTGACTATTTTTCCCCACTCGGAGCTTGCCTCTGTAGGGGTCCTAGCAGATTCATTCCGCAATCAGTGCTTGCACTGAAGGGGTCCTCGCGGAAGTTGAAGGATTTGGCGAACATTCTCCGCCGATTTTGGTCGCACGCTGGGTTCCCGGGTTTCTGGTTCCGGGTTCCGGGCCGATTTCTGAGGGCGGCGAGGTTCCCGGGTTCCCGGGTTCCTGGTCTCACCATCGATCTCATTACCCACTTCTCTATCGATCTCACCATCGATCTCACAATCGATCTCACTATCCATCTCACAAGCGATCTCACTACAAGCGATCTCACTAGAGATCGCATGAGCGATCTCGCGATCGATCTCACTATCGATCTCATTGAAATGATGTCACTCTCGGCCTCACGATCGGCCTTACAATCGTCTTCACTATCGATTGCACGATCGATCTCACTATCGATCTCAGTCGATCTCAAGATCCATGGCATTAATTTTCAAATCATCCACTGATTGGGGTTTTCTCAGGTGTAATATGGTGAGGTGAGGTATGGCGCCCATTTCGGCAGCACGCCAAGGGTACCCCGGGTGCCCGGGTGCCCTGCCCGAAACCCCGGGTGCCCCAGTGCCCGGGTGCCTGGTAGCTCTATAGCCCTACAGCCTTATAGCCTTATAGCCCGATAGCCTTATAGCCCAAGTAGCCTTATAGGCCTATAGCCCCACAGCCCCATAGCCGCACAGTTCCATTGCCCCATAGCCTCATAGCCCTATAGCCCCATAGCCCTCTAGATTAAAAATATTATGATTGGGGTTTTCTCCAGTATCATTGAATATTCCTCCTTGGGAGGGACATGCTCGACCTAGGACTTGTGCCGACGCACCCCCTACCAGCGTCTTGCTCTGGCCTGCGACGGCAACCCCGTTGCTCCCAGGGCTGGCCTGGGAAACTCCTCCGCACAAGCTGGCCGCTTGATGGGCCCGTCTGCATACAGTAGGTGCCCGACCACAAGGAACCTCCAACAAGGAACTCAACCCTGAGACCCCAAGACGTCCCTTGATGCTTAGTGTGGGAGCGGCGCACTTTCCATCGCCCAACCATCGAAGCCCAAGAAGCCCAGGGCACCCTGGAGGCAGGCAGGGTGCTTCTTGGCATGGGTCTCCACTGTAATGTCGGCCAGGGTCGAGCTTCTAAATCGTTCCCTCGGACGCGATCGCACTCGAGTCCGCGGATGAGGGGGGCCATCCGACACCTCGCGAGATTCATTGTGCCGAGGGCTGGGGTCGCGGAGCGCCTGCAAAAGGGGATTCGACTGGGGGTCGCCGCGGTCTCCGACAACACGTTCGACGCTCCCATTCCTTACCAGCCTGGAACATATTCTTATCCCTATGCTGGGCACCTCCTCATCACGATGCCAATCTTAGGGATTCTCTTATTTTTAGCGGGCGAATCTCTAAGATTGTCATCGCCTTTGGGCGTGTCAATCTTAAGGATAGGGATACGTTCGAGGCAAGCAAATTCCGATCGACGTTTTCTCGTTATTTACGCTCCTGTCAGCTCGCGCATGTCAACTGCAATTTTTTGCGCGGGCGGCGCCCCCTGGGAACGTTCGGTATGCTCACGGTCAGGACCCAGCCTTCCCCCCGTGAACCACTGCGAGCATGATCATGGCTAACTAAAGAACAAACAGCACATTGTCTCATGGCCAGGGCCATGGCCATGCTTCGCTGTGACGGGCCACAGCTGGAAGCACACCCACGTGCGAACCCTGAGTGTCTCAACAAAAACTGACGCCCCTGCACACAGGGAACTTACAATCCAATCTGCTCTCATGGCCCAAATCAAACAGCAATGGCCCCGCTCTCCTGGGCGGGCTACTTTGGCGCGAACGCTCTTGAAGGCAGTAGATACTCAGAGATCATGAAACCACCGCAGCCCATGGCGCCTGACATGCAGCAGAGGCAGCTGCAGCGCGTTCCCCGGTGGGCGCGTGGCAGGGCCACCCCAAGAGCGCTCAGCCCCCAGCTTGCACGGGGAGGCTCAGATGGCTTCCAGAGGGGGGGAAACCAAGCCAGCGATGCTGGCCTCAGCATGCCAAGGCACGCCGGTGGCTTCTTTAACGGCGCAAGCCTAAGCCGGGTGGAACTGCTGCCTCACCTCGCTGGCTGAATCCCACGAGGGCGAGGGAGCCAAAGACTGGAGCGACAAGCTGGGAGCACTCTGGACCAGGACCACTTCTAGCCCCACCCGAGCCCTAGGCTCACGCACGCCACCGCTCCAGACGGAAAACGACAAGATGGGGAGAGGAATTGGCTTCGGGGGGGATCGGCGACGCATCGCTGAGACATCGGCGAAAGGCCCCCGACAGTGCATCCGCAAGCTCCTGGGCGAGCGGGCTATCGGGCCCCCATGGCCCTGTCGGCGATGAATGAGTGAGTGGGGATCGAGGCACCCCCCTCCCCTGAGCCTGTCCCCCCTCCAAACATTGCCCCCCCAAGCTTTCGGGTCATAACGAGGCTCTCTGGCGGCCGTTCGGGACGACCCGGGTACCCCCCGCACGCCCACGGCGAGGCGCAGCTGTTGGAACGCATCCCGAGACTGAAAAACCGCCCAGAAATGTTGAACACGTCAGAAAACCTCAATCGGGCGTATGCTAAGATGGATTAGGTATCCGTGGATCTGGCGCGTTGGCGCCAAATCCACGGATCGGGGACAGTAGCGCCGAAATACAAGTGGCACGCGTGCCCTGGCTCTTGCACAAATGAGCTGCGAAGGACTGGGAAGCCTGTACGGAGGAAGGTTGGACGGGGGGGCGAACCACCACGAACCACGAAACACGACGAACATAAAGGGTTCCGCGGCCCAGGGGGCTGCCCTGGGAAGCCTGGACGCAGGGGGGGTCTAAGGGTGGGTGCCCCAGGGGAGCTGGGGCTCAGGCTCAGGGGGGGGGCCGAGGGGGACGAACAACGACGAACCACGAACCACGACGAAAATAAGGATGCCCGCGGCCCAGGGGGGCTGTCCTGGGAAGCCTGGACGGAGCAAGCCTCCGAAGGGTGGGTGGCCCAGGGGAGCTGGGGCGAAAATAAAAGGTTCCGCGGCCCAGGGGGGCCTGGACGGAGCACGCCTCCGAAGGGTGGGTGGCCCAGGGGAGCTGGGGCTCAGGCTCAGGGGAGAAGCCGAGGGGGACGAATCACCACGAGCCACGAACCACGACGAAAATAAACGGATTCCGCGGCCCAGGGGGGCTGCCCTGGGAAGCCTGGACGGAGGGGGGGTCCCAAGGGGGGGGTGGCCCAGGGGAGCTGGGGCTCAGGCTCAGGGGAGGGGCCGAGGGGGACGAACCACGACGAACCACGAACCACGAAGAAAATCAGGATGTCAGCGGCCCAGGGGGGCTGTCCTGGGAAGCCTGGGCGAAGCAAGCCTCCAAAGGGTGGGTGACCCAGGGGAGCTGGGGCTCAGGCTCAGGGGAGGGGCCGAGGGGGACGAACCACCACGAACCACGAACCACGACGAAAATAATAATGTCCGCGGCCCAGGGGGGCTGTCCTGGGAAGCCTGGGCGGAGCAAGCCTCCGAAGGGTGGGTGGCCCAGGGGAGCTGGGGCGCAGGCTCAGGGGAGGGGCCGAGGGGGACGAACCACCACGAACCACGAAACACGACGAACATAAAGGGTTCCGCGGCCCAGGGGGGCTGCCCGGGGAAGCCTGGACGGAGGGGGGGTCCCAAGGGAGGGTGGCCTGGACGGAGCACGCCTCCGAAGGGTGGGTGGCCCAGGGGAGCTGGGGCTCAGGCTCAGGGGAGGGGCCGAGGGGGACGAATCACCACGAACCACGAACCACGACGAACATAAACGGGTTCCGCGGCCCAGGAGGGCTGCCATGGGAAGCCTGGACGGATAGGGGGGTCCCAAGGGGGGGTGGCCTGGACGGAGCAAGCCTCCGAAGGGTGGGTGGCCCAGGGGAGCTGGGGCTCAGGCTCAGGGGAGGGGCCGAGGGGGACGAATCACCACGAGCCACGAACCACGACGAAAATAAACGGATTCCGCGGCCCAGGGGGGCTGCCCTGGGAAGCCTTGACGGAGGGGGAGGGTCCCAAGGGTGGGTGGCCCAGGGGAGCTGGGGCTCAGGCTCAGGGGAGGGGCCGAGGGGGACGAACAACCACGAACCAAGAACCACGACGACAATAAAGATGTCCGAGCTCTGGAGCACAGCTGTGCAAGAGAATTGGGCCAATGCCGCCCAATCTGGGGATGGTCCGTGCCGAGTATGCACGGAAACGGGGCCCGTCGCTAGTCCACGCGCCTTAGCCGATGTTTGGGATTCCTCGACTCAAGCCGCGATTCCGAGAACGTCCCCCTTCTGAGCCTTCCCAAGGCGTGCCCCTCCGACTCCGAGGCATTCTGGCTCGGGCCGTCTGAGGCCCCACGGCAGGTGTGGCTCCTCTGCCAGCCCACGACGGCCCGAGGAAGGCGGTCACCGTCCGAATCTTCGGGCGGATTGACGTATCCATGTCGGACGCCCGAAATGGGTACGGAAAAAACGGGTACGATGCCCACCAACAAGTGTTGTCCAAAACCGACAGCGGCCGCTGTTGGGCAGGCGGCTTTCGGTCTTCAACGAACAACGCCCGCGGCGGCGCGGACAGCGAGACCGGTTCAACATGAGAAGGAACTGCAATGGGGCCTCGCACACCTTCTTTCCGTACCCAGTTCGATCGTCCCGATCCCTCCTGAGGAGTAGAGGAGGAGGAGGAGGAGGAGGAGGAGGAGGAGGAGGAGGAGGAGGAGGAGGGGGAGGAGGAGGAGGAGGAGGAGGAGGAGGAGGAGGAGGAGGAGGAGTATGAGGAGGAGGAGGAGGAGGAGGAGGAGGAGGAGTAATGGTAGGGGGGGATCTGCTCAGGGGGGGACACACATCGACCTGGAGTGTGCAGCACATCGCTGACAGATCGGCGACAGGCCCCCGATAGCCAAACCGCGCGTTCCTGGGCAAGGACTGGCCGATGAAGAGTCGACGTGCCCCCCTCCTGGGCAAGGACTGGCCGATGAAAAGTCGACGTGCCCCCCCTCCCCCTTCCCCTGGACTCTTTTCCCCTGATTGACGTTGCCGCTGGCCCCTCCTCTGCCCCTCTTGAGAAAACCAAAATCAACCGATGCCGCTACTCTTTCGACGTCTCCCGCATAACGTTCTGGCCAGAATTTCAAGGCGAATCCAGCTGTGGCGACGATAGCCTCCGATGAGGCCCCGAAGGCGAAAACGAGGAAGGGTACCTTTTCATCCTCTGACTTTTGTCCTGCTGCGCATCATGATTCAACACGCGCTGGGAAGATGCTGGCCGTTCCGACCACGTCTGCCCCCCTCTGTCTTCCTGTGCAGTCCCCGTTCAAGTGCTTATCGTTCGTATTTTCTGCCAGCCCCCGGAAGGCTCCCCGAAGTCGAGATCCGACGACGTACAGAACACGGCGTCGTGGAGAACCGCTTCCGGACCTGCAAGCCCCCCTGAGTAAGCGGTCCTTCTCGAGCTGGATGGATCCACGAGGGTCCCAGGGACCGGGAAGGACTCTGGACGGCAGGAAATGCAGTCGAAATCTGTAGTAGGGACGGGCGGTGAGGACGCAGGTGCCTTGGACGGCGAATCTGGCACTTTGTGGATGGCGGCGTGGCAACACCCTGAAGGGCTGGCCAGCGACAGCCGCGAAGAACGGACCGCAGATTACCAGCCTCGAACGTATCCCTATCCCTAAGATTGACACGCCAAAAGGCGATGGCAATCTTAGGGATTCGCCCTCAAAAATAAGGGAATCCCTAAGGTTGGCATCGTGATGAGGAGGTTCCCAGCATAGGGATAGGGACATGTTCCAGGCTGGTAAGCAGAGACGCGGACGCAAGGGCACCCTGAGGACGTCCGTGCGTCCTCACTACGATCTTTGACTGTAGCGAGCACCCTGCCGAACCCCTCTTGACTCAAGTCGGGCCTATCGTCCCCCTACAGGGAGATTTTCGACGAAAAATGTAGAAACCCAGAAACAATCCCCAAACAATCCAAAAATAGCCAGGGGACTATTCTTTGAACATGGTTTGACCTTTCTGGTGCATTTCGGGAGTATTTGTTTAACTTTCGTCGGAAGTCCCCCTGTAGGGGGACAGGCCCGACTTAACACTACGATCTTTGACTGTAGCGAGCATCCTGCCGAGCCCCTCCTGCCTTCAGGATGCCCCTCCTTCGGGGCGGCCCTCCAGCGCTCGACCCCCCGAAGAGGGATCTCTCCAGGGCTGAGCTCTGGGCAGAACTTCGAGGCGGTGGCGACGAGGAGCCTCGTGGAGCTCGAGCAACAAAACCAGGAAGCTCCCAGGCAACAACATCGATCGTCCGACCTCGATCGAGGACTCCTTTCCTCGACGACGCGGTGTTTCACGCCGGTCTCCCCCTGGGCAATCCTCAAATCTCGATCCTCGAATCTCAATCCTCGAATCTCGATCCTCCAGAAACTCAGGCCATTGAGTCTCGATCAAGGGACCCTTTCCCCCAGGACCCGTTCTCTTCCATGGTGCGGCGATCTCCAGATCAAACGGCACCGACGCACCGCACCATGTGTGTGGACACAGCCCCCACGTCCCGCTCCAGAGCGATGCCGTGTGTAGTTGCTCGGCTCCGAGGGCAGAACAACCATGCACCACACCACTCTCGGGAACAGATCGGCGACGTCTCGGGGACGCCCACGGGACACAGCTCGTCCGAAGAAAGCTCCTCGTTCCTCCTCGTTCCTCCTCCTCCTCCTCCTCCTCCTCCTCCTCCTCCTCCTCCTCCTCCTCCTCCTCCTCCTCCTCCTCCCCCGAAGAAAGCTCCTCCTCTGCTCTCTTCTCTGGCGGGGGGCAGGGCACCGCTGCAGACACCTCGTGAGCCATACCTCCGCGTGCTCGCGCGCGGGGGGGGGGCGCGCGCGACCACGCGCACACGCGGAGGTAACACGCGATCCTCGCCACACGCGCACACGCGCGAGTGGCGAGGATCGTCCCAGGAGAGCAACACGAAAACAAAGTCGCCAGCGCACATCAGCTGCCCGATATAGACCATGATCAACGCTTCGATGCCAGTCCTCTACGTCGGTCGCTATGGTTTGACAACTTCCGACGCAATGTGATGTGCAGATTCTTCGCAAACAATCTGGTCGTGGTGAAAGCACGGTCGTGGTGAAGGCACGGTAAGCCGTGGCGATCTCAATTTGGATACTGCGGCCTGCCAATGAAATCCTTCAGAGGCATACGCACAACCGTTCGGCAATTCCTGGATATGCGCCGGACACCCCCCCCTCCTTGGCGCGCGGAGCGCTTCAGGGGCGGCGCCGGAGGCGCCGTCACGGGGGCCGAGCGCCGAACCAGAAAGTCCGCGAGGAGTGCCCATGTTTATGTTCATGGCGCTTCTTTGTACTATTATTAGTTTTCTTCTGGTTATGTTCTTCTTATTCTTCTTCGGTCCACATGGCTGCCCACCCCACACAACCTGAGGTGGTGTGCTTCTGCTGCACATCCTCTAGCTGGGCAAACCGTTTTTCACGCGGTGAGCATGCAAGTTCCCGCCGGCCCCGAAGGGAAGGAATCGCGCTTCGACCCGTCTCGCTTTTTTGTTTGTTTGTTGGATTACCCGCCCCACCCAACATAGGGAAATTGGCGTCGCAGCGTGAGAGCTTTCCCATTCGGCGTTTCGGGAAGGGGGTGTCGCCCCAGACCTCTGCTTGGCGCGACTGGTTGCGGCCGTGCGCCCGACGGGGGAGGCCCAGCCTACCCAGAACAGGCGCCGAAAAGAACAGCCAAGCGCCACTCCGTGGGGGCGTGGAGGGGTTTGGACGCCCGAAAGGGGCGCGGAAACAATGGGTACAACGCCCAACAACAGATGTTGTCCAGCAGCGGCCGCTGTTGGGCAGGCGGCCTTCCGTTTAGAATGGACACAGGCCGCGGCGGCGTGGACAGCAAGTCCTGTTCAAAATGAACAGGCACTGCTTCTGGGCATTGTACCTATTCTTTCCGTACCCATGTCGGTCGTCCCGAGAGGGGGGCGGGGTGCGAGGGCCCGCGCCGACCGGCAAAACAGCGAATGAGAGAAGGATCGCCATTTGATTATGTTCGTTTGGGTACCTGCCCCACCCAACATGAGGATATATGTTTTGTTTCGCACTGGCCACGAAGCCGAGACCGATGCTATCGACCGCGCGGTGCGTGGGCTCCCGCGGGACCCTACCAGACTACTATCTCGATAGCAGTCCCCGAAAACATCCAGCCCTCGACGCCCAGCACGATGTCCGCGCAGGACACCGCCACGTCCATAGGCTTGCCGCTGGCCCTGCCAGCGTTCGATGCCCACCTCCTCCTCCTCCTCCTCCTCCTCCTCCTCCTCCTCCTCCTCGTCCTCCTCGGGGGAAAAGGTGCCCTCGTCGGGCCCCAGAGGCCCCCTGCAGGAGGAGGAGAGGGAGGAGGAGGAGGAGGAGGAGGAGGAGGAGGAGGCGGAGGAGGCGGAGGAGGAGGAGGAGGAGAAGGAGGAGGAGGAGGAGGAGGAGGAGGAGGAGGAGGAGGACGAGGAGGAGGAGGAGGACGAGGAGGAGGAGGAGAGGAGGACGAGGAGGAGGAGGAGGACGAGGAGGCGGAGGAGGAGGCTCTCTCCGTGCCGGCTCGTCGGCCGCCGGGCCCCGCCCCCAGCGAGAGGCCACGGCGGCCCCCTGCCCTCGGCGACTCCCAAGAGGGCCTTGGTTTGCAAAGGGTGTGGGTCTGCAGCCGACACCCTGGGGAACGTCCTGGGAGGCACCGTGGGGAGAAAAAAACACACCGCGGGGGAAAAAACACACCGTGGGGAGAAAGCACACACACACACACAGTGGGGAAAAGAACACACACTGTGGGGAAGAACACACACACACACACACGCGCAGTTCGTGTGTGTTTTTCCCCACAGTGTGTGTGTGTGTGTGTGTATGTTTTTTCCCCCCCGTGTTTTTTCCCCCACAGTGTGTGTTTTTCCCCCACAGTGTGTGTGTGTGTGCTTGTTCCCCACAGTACGTGTGTGTGTTTTTCTCCCACAGTGTGTGTTTTCCCCACAGAAGGGGGCACCCTTATTGTAGTCGCCGATCCCTGGCGTCATGTTTCCTCTCTCGGGCGGGGCCGCCTGGCCTCGGGAGGCTTCTGACCGGCCTCGAGCTGATCCCCGTCCCTGAGATGGGCGAGCACGGAGCGAGGACCATCTTAGGGGCGTGCCCTCTCCGAAACCGAAAACTGTGAGCGTGATGCCAAGCACAAGGATAGGGATATGGTTCGGACCGGTAAGCCTCTCGTCGCCACTGCCAGATCCGTCGTGAACGGAAATGTCTGGAGGGGTCCTGGGTGGGGTCGGGGGGCCAGTTTTCCGAGAGCTTCGTTTGGGCGGGAAGGCCGCCGCTGTCTCAGCGAGCATGGTAGCTGGCGCGTTGGTGGTTGGGCCAGTCTGCGAAAGCAACTCAAAGCAACACGGTGCAAACTGGAAGATCCTAACCACCGCCTTCGAAATCCCAGGGGGTGGTTCGCGGGGCGGGGACCTACATGGACCATCTGCACAGCTGGCCAACCATCATGTAGATAACAAGATGGTGGTCAGGCCTGTTTGTGCAGCTTGCAACAGCGCAGGTAGACAACAGAACTACCAACGTAGCTGAACAACAGGTCGCTCAATTTAAGGAATGGAAGGCGGGGTGGGAAAAGGGCCGATGGAAGATAGGATGATACCCAAAGGACAGAACAGTTGATTATCATAAAAAATATCAACCCAGAGGACCGCGTGCATTTTTTGGGTCTGCGCTGGACCCCTGGCGCACGGAACGCGCCAAAGGTAGGTTCCAGGCGTGGACCCAAGAAATCCGGGCGGACCTCCGAAACCTGTGCCTATACATGTGTTTCTGTGCCGGGGCACGTCACGACATCGCCGCGAGGAAGTGACGCTGCTGCCTCAACGAGTGCAAGACGAGCGCGTTCCACTACTCGCAAGGTGGCTACTCGCAAATGGCCTGGATCCGCCGCAGGGGATCTACGATACATTACATTGAAGCAGACATGTGTTCTTTTGAAGTTTGCGTTGCGGGTAAAGGAACGCGCTCGGTGAATTGCGGCTTCCCAAAAACAAGGGTCCCCAGGTGCCAGCCGACTCCGGACCACCACCAGGAGCCTTCAACCTTGGACGCCCGCGCTGGGATCGCCGCCGCGCCGGCGCGGCGAGAGCCTGCCGCCTTGCACATAGCACGTGGCTGCACGCACTGCACGCAGCATGGGCTCTGCGCTCTCGATGCCGAGGGGTCACGCGCGCTAGCGCCCCTGTCCTCAGCACCCCTGCGCCCCAATCTCCTCCATGCGACAACCGAAGAACTCGGCCAGGCGCGGACACGCGGACAGGGAGGAGGCGAGGCGAGGCGAGCGCCGACTCCGCTCCGCGCGGGCGGGGCGCCTCCTGAGGACGGCGGTGGGGCCGCACATGGCCCCTCAGAGAGAGAATCCGTCCATCTCCTTCTGGGCCCATGTGGCTTCCTCCGGGCCCCTTGGGCAGAAGTCTGCATCCCAGAAGTAAGCCTTGGAACTCCATCTGTCCAGGCTGGCGTTGGTGATGAGTCGTGCCCATTCTTCGTACCCGCTACATGGCGTGCCCATATGAAGGGGCGGAGGAGGAGGAGGAGGAGAAGGAGGAGGAGGAGGCGGAGGCGGAGGAGGATCAGGAGAAGGAGGAGGAGGCGGAGGCGGAGGAGGAGGAGGAGAGGAGGAGGAGGAGGAGGAGGAGGAGAGGAGGAGGAGGAGATGGTGGAGGAGGAGGAGGAGGAGAAGGAGGAGGAGGAAACGGTGGAGGAGAAGGAGAGGAAAAGAGGAGGAGGAGGAGGAGGAGGAGGAGGAGGAGGGGGAGGAGAGGAGCAGGAGGAGGAGGAAATGAGGAGAAGGAGGAGGACGAGGATGAGGAGGAAGTGAGGAGGAGAAGGTGAGGAGGAGGAGGAGGAGGAGGAGGAGGAGAGAGGAGGAGGAGGAGGAAGGAGGAGGAGAGAAGGAGGAGGAGGAGGAGGAGGAGGAGGAGGAGGAGGAGAGGAGCGGGAGGAGGAGGATGAGGAGGAGAGGGAGGAGGGGGAGGAGGGTGGGGGAGGAGACAGGGGGGCAAAAGGAGGAGGGGGCGGGGATGGGGAGGAGGAGGAGGAGGAGGAGGAGGAGGAGGAGGAGGAGGAGGAGGAAGGAGGAGGAGGAGGAGGAGGAGGAGGAGGAGGAGGAGGAAGGAAGGAGGAGGAGGGGGGGCAGGATGACGAGGCTGTTCCTTCCCGAGGGCCGCTTCGCATCCCAGAACCGTTCTCTGACCGCCCCTGGGGGCGCAAAAGGTGCCCCTCTAGGCGACGTTCCAGTCCCGTGGCGCGCTCTGGCTGGAGCTCCGAGGGCGAGTCGGCCGTGGCGGCTGAGGACACTCCATGATCCCCAACATGGTAGGCGTGCGCCTTGAAGTCCCACCAGCCCTTTGGGCGTGAGTGGTTTAGCGAGCTCTCTCTGTCCTCAACCCCCCTTCTTCCCCTCCGGGGAGGGGTTTACCCCTCCCCCTACCCCCTCCCCCTGGGCCTGGAGAGGGCGCCCCGCGGGTCGTTGGAGGGGTCTTTTTCGACTCATGGGAGGGCCAAAAAACGACGACCCTTACGAGGATTCTGGCCCCGAGAGGGGGGAGGGAGTTTGGCGCCTGAACTCGTCGTTGAAGCCAAAAACATTGATTTTACTACGGTTTCGGCCCCATTTTGGCCTTCTGAGGGGGCCGCGTTCCTCTCCCTTCATAGCAAAATCATTGATTTTACGAAGGTTTTGGGCTCATTTTGTCCTTCTCAGCGCTTCTGAGCAGGCCGCAAGAGACCCCAAGATGGCCCCGAGAGGCCCCCAGGAGGGTCCCAAGAGGCCTCCAGGAGGCCCCCAAGAGGCCCCCCAGAGGCCCCTAGAGGTCCCCAGAGGCCCCCAAGAGGCCCCCAAGAGGCCCCAAGAGGCCCCAAGAGGCCCCCAAGAGGCCCCCAAGAGGCTCCCAGAGGCCCCCAAGAGGAGGCCCCCAAGAGGCCCCCAAGAGGCCCCACGAGGAGCCCGAACGACTCACACCAGGACGAGGGGCCCGAACGACTCACACCACGAAGAGCCCGAACGACTCACACCACAAGGAGGGGCCCGAACGACTCACACCAGGACGAGGCGCCCGAACGACTCACACCACGAGGAGCCCGAACGACTCACACCACGACGCGGGCCCCGAACGACTCACACCACGAGGAGCCGGAACGAGTCACACCAGGAGGAGGGGCCCGAACGACTCACACCAGGACGAGGGGCCCGAACAACTCACACCACGAGAAGCCCGAACGACTCACACCAGGACGAAGAGCCCGAACGACTCACACCACGAAGAGCCCGAACGACTCACACCAGGAAGAAGGGCCCGAACGACTGACACCAGGACGAGAAACCCCAAACGACTCCAATCACGAGGAGCGCTTTCTCTCCCTCCCCCTCCGCCTCGTCCTTCTCCCGCTCCCCCCACAAGGAGGATGTACAAGGAGGCGGGAGGAAGGAGGAACAGGGGAGATATGCGGGGCCAAGCGGACACACGCCTGAAAAACACGACTGTCGGCATGCTTCGCAAGAGTTGCTGCTGTGAGATGGGCTGGTGGGGATACGCGAAGCGTAAAGAATTCAGCTCTCGAAGCCCGATCTTCAACGGACACAGCGGTCACAACGAAAACGACAACGACGGTCCGGTCTGGCCCAGGGCGGCTGCGCTTCTCCAGGGGGGCGGCGTGGGGGCGCGGCGATACGTCGGGCCCCTGCGGGGCGCCGCTGCGCGAGGCAAGGTGCGACCTCGGAGGACGTCCGAAGACCTCGAGCCCCGAACCGAGAGCCTGGACGCGAAGAGGGCCTGGGTCCTCCTCCTCCTCCTCCTCCTCCTCCTCCTCCTCCTCTCCTCCTCCTCCTCCTCTCCTCCTCCTCCTCCTCCTCCTCCTCCTCCCTCCTCCTCCTCCTCCTCCTCCCTCCTCCCTCCTCCTCCTCCTCCTCCTCCTCCTCCAACGGACACAGCGGTGACAACGACGGTAACGACAACGACGTCGTCACCCGTGCCATCCCTGGGCATGTTTCACCCGGGGGCCCCAGAACTCTCGACCCCTTCCCCCAAGGGGCGGGGTCTTGCTCCGGTCGTTCGTTGACGGCCCGTCGGGCTCTGGAGCGGCCCCCCGGGCGCTGAACCTCGTGAACAACCTCCGCCCTGCTTTGTTCAAGACTGGGGAAACCAAAAGGTACCGATATCGCTACTCCCTGGGCCTTTCCTGGGGTTCGTTCTGGCGAGAATTTCGAAGCGAATTCAGCCGTGGCGACGAGGGCCGCCCAGGAGCCCCCAGAAGGGGAAAACGAGCGAAGGGTAGAGGTGTGGGTACCTTCTCCTCCTCTGAAAGACGCTGGAGGTCCTCGAACCTCGATCCTCAAGGACCGCCGAAAGGTCAGCAACGGCGTCGCGCGGAGAGGCGCCCTCTTGTCGGGCAGGCCCATGCGGCGCGCCAAGCCGGTCAGCGCCGCCGCCTCGCCCACACCCCCGCGCCGGGTCGCCCGCAGACGCCGTAGCTACCCTCCCGAATCATACTCGAACTTCTGCCCATCCCTAAGTTTGACAATCCACAACGCGATGACAATCTTAGGGAGGTGTCCTCAGAATATGAGGGAATCCTCAAGATCGGCACCGAGGCAACGTGATGCCAAACATAGGCACAGGGATATGTTTCAGGCTGATACCTCCTGGTCCTGCTCCCGTCTCCTCCTCCTCCTCCTCCTCCTCCTCCTCCTCCTCGGCAAGGGTGCACCCGCGACCACCGCCCTGGGGGGACCGCTTTTCGGGAGCCTCTGCAGACGGCGGCTAGGAATACATCCAGCCTCCTCCCGCAAGTCCAGAATGTGTTACCCATTCCCGGCCAGCGCCTGCCGAGGCCCCCGAGGATGGATCCCACAGGCGGCGATTATGACGAATGAACGGCACACGCACCCATAGCCATGGGGGGGTCGGAGAGAGGAGGACTGGCTATGGGTATGGGTGCGGGTTGTCGGACCGCGGGGGAGGCTCCCGTTCGAGCGGGGACCCATCCGACAATACACACCCATAGCCCCCTCCGTCCCCCTGATGGGAATGGGTGCGTGTTGTCCGTTCGTCAGGTTATGTATCCACCACCGTGCCTCTGGGCACGGCGTGGGCGCGTCCTCAGGTTACTTCCTGATCATCAAGGCCTCATACCTCAATCCTGAGGAGGCTTTAGGGGCCCAGAGCCAAAATTCTCACATTTGCTGAGACTTGTGGCGTCTTGTCGCTTAACTTTTTCGGAGCGGCCCAGAGACGGGCCAAGAAGGCACCCCAAAGACCCTAAAACGGTTCAAGAGGGCCCCGAGTCGCCGAACGATCGCTGCAAGACGCTCAAGATGGTCGGCAGAAGGCCCAAGAGGCCTCCTAGAGGCCCCACGCAGGCCCCAAGAAGCCCAAATCATTGATTGTCTATAAGTGTTTGAAGGATTTTGGCGTTCTCGCCCGTTCTGCTTCTCGACGCTCTAAGACAGCCCACGAGGCCCGCGAAACCGCCCCCAGACGGCCCCAGAGGTCCCCAAGATGGCCCATGACGGCCCAAGTGGCAGTTTCTGTTGAATCCATCCCGTGGTGATGGGTCCTCGTTTTGAAGAGACAACGCCCCGCGTTCACTTCTACCTTTCTTCCTCCTCCCCCTCTTCCCTCCTCCCATCACTGCATCGTCTCTGTTTTGGCACACCCCTCACACGATTCGTGGCCACATTAGAAGTTCAACCAAAGGCCCCAATGGCGTAATCCGCATGTGGGCGTCACGCCCGTTTCGGCACACCCTTTACACGTTTCGTGGTTCCACAAGAAGCTCCACCGAAAGTCCCAGTGGCGCAGTTCGCATGTGGGCGTCACGCCTGCTTCGGTACACCCCTCGCACGTTTTGTGGCCCCGTAGGGAACTCCACTGAAGGTCCCACAGGCGCAATTCGCATGTGGCGTCACGCCTGTTCTTGCACACCCGTCACACGCTTCGTGGCCCCATAGGGAGCTCCACAGAAGGTTCCAATGGCGCAATTCGCACGTGGACGTCGTGCCCATTTCGGCATACCCCTCACGCGTTTCGTGGCCACATGGGGAGCTCCGCCGAAGGTCGCAGTGCTGCATTTCGCATGTGGGCGTCACGCCCGTCTCGGCACTCCCCTCGAACGCTTCGTGGCCCCATAGGGAACGCCCCCGAAGGTCCCAGTTGCGCAATTCGCATGTGGGCGTCACGCCCGTTTCGGCACAAGCTCACACGTTTCGTGGCCCCGTGGGGAGCTCCACTGAAGGTCCCACCCAATGGCGCAGTTGGCAGATGGGCGTCACGCCCGTTTCGGCGAACCCCTCACAGGTGTCGTGGCCACGTAGGGAGCACCACCGAAGGTCGCAGTGCTGCATTTCGTATGTGGGCGCCACGCCCGTCTCGGGACACCCCTCGCACGTTTTGTGGCCCCGTAGGGAACTCCACCGAGCGTCCCAAAGCTGCAAGTCGCATGTGGGCGTCACGCCCGTTTCGGCACACCCATTACACAGTTCGTGGCCCCGTAGGGAGCTGCACCAAAGGCCCCAGTGGCGCAATTCGCATGTGGGCGTCACGCCCGTTTCGGCATTCCCCTCACACGCTTCGTGGCCCCATAGGGGAGCTCCACCGAAGGTATACTGGGAGGGGAGGGTCCACATGCGCCCCTCTCCTCCCCAGATCGGCACGCACCTTGCACATTGCGTGGCCCTGCTCAAAGGTTCCACCGAAGACGATGCCCGCAGCTGCGGGACTCACAACTGCATATGGTTGGGTCCTTCGCCACGCTAATTTTGAAGGGGCCCTGGGACACACGAATAAATATACACAAATAACCAGGTTCCCCATGTTTTCCCATATGTTCTGGGTTTTTGTGGCCCCCCCCACTTTCCGGATGTTCCCATATTTTCTGGGGGATCGTCGATTCATGGTGTCTATGTGTTTTGTTTCCCCTCCTGGAGCTTTTCTTTCCCAGACAGCGGTCGCTACCTGGGGGAAGAGCCCCCCAGTAATGCCATTCCGTTTCAAGGAGCCCCTCCAAAGGGGATCCGGGGGCCTGGTCCCGCGCTGGGCTTTGATCGGGGATCTTCTGACCCGGTCAATCCAGACCCGGGTCAGCAGGAAACCAATAACTGCAATGCAGGAAAAAAAAAAAACTGCAACGCAGGTCTTTGTAAACCAGGGTCAGCCAATAGGCGCGGCCGCCTCGCGGCCACGAGCGGCTTGCTACCCCGGGTCAGCCAGAGGGGTTCTTCGCAGGATCCTGCAGGATCCGGTGCCCTGGCTGACCCCCGTCTGCATTGACCCCCGTCTCAAGGCTCCCGAGCTTTGAGCAGGGACCGACCGTCCCGGCATTCCTGTAGTCCCAGAACAAAAACAATGTTCTTAGAAAATGAACCCGATGTGTTAAACCAAGACAGTCTCCGCCAGGCATGTTATAAGAACATCTCGTGGAGACCACAAAAGGTTCCTCGAACACTGTTTGGTAGGGCTATGGGCGAGCCAGGACGCTTCGCCACTGCTTGAGGGCTGGCGAGGCCGAGCGGACAGATTCCAGAAAGGGTGACGATCGGGCTGCTGCCCGCCGGCTCTTCAAAGAGACGGCCGCAGGCCTCCGTGGGACAGGTGACCCTATGTACGCAGCTCCCTTCTTTACCGACTGCCCATAACACGACGGGGTCGAATATGGATTTCCAGATCGGCCGTGACACGAGTCCGCGGATGTATGAAGCAAGTCAGCGCAGATCAGGGGCTGGGAGGGAAGGGTGGTACGTCCAATAGCGCGAACGCACCCGGCTTGCCTCTTTCCTTTCTCCTCGATCCTTTCTCCTCCTCCTCCTCCTCCTCGTCCTCCTCCTCCCTCCTCCTCCTCCTCCTCCTCCTCCTCCTCCTCCTCCTCCTCCTCCTCCTCCTCCTTCCTCGTTCCTCATTCCTCATTCCGCCTCCTCCTTTCTCTCCTATTCCCCCGTCTACCTTCCCCCCCCTCTCCCCCTCCCCTCCCCCCCACCCCCTAACCCCTCCCCTCCTCTTCCTCCTCCCTCCTCTTCTCCCTCCTCCTCTCTTCGGCCCTCCTCATCCTCCTCCTCGTCCCGTCATCCCTCCTCCTCCTCCTCCTCCTCCTCAATCCCCTCCTACTCCTCCCCCTCCCCCTCCCCATGCCCCCTACCCCCTCTCGCTCTCCTCCTCTTCCTTCCTCCTCTCCCTCCTCCTCCTCCTTAATGCTACTCGCTACGCTACTGCTACTGCGACTGCGATCTGCGGACTGCGACAGCTTACTACACGACTACTACGACTACTACTACTACGACCACTACGACCACTACGACTACTTCTACGACTACCACTACTATTACTACTACTACTACTACTACTACTACTACTACGACTACTACTACTACTACTACTACTACTACTACTACTACTACTACTACTACTACTACTACTACTACTACTACTACTACTACTACTACTACTACTAATACTACTACTAATACTACTGCTACTACTACTACTACTACTACTACTACTACTACTACTACTACTACTACTACTACTACTACTACTACTACTA